CGGGGAGGAATATACACAGAAGCAATACAAAGGCTCTTGCCTTTAACAAAAGCCTGACATGCGACAACTTCAATACCTGGAAATTGTGGAAGATTCACTCTATAGAAGGAATGGCACTTTTTGATCCCCAAAAGTACTCCTCCTCCACGCGAATCCTCACGATCCAGTCGAATAATGTTAAAATCATGAAAAAGAAGATCGATATCTGAAGAGAGCCAAGTTTCACAAACAGCAAATGCATCACAATCGTTATTGTGAACCAAAAACTTAAACGATTCTATCTTAGGAATAAGACTTCGACAATTCCACTGTAGAACAGTGATCAAATCCCCGACCTCGTTTGGAAAATTATCCATCGAAGGAGATGATTGCTGCAAGGAGGGGCCACTTCAATGTCAACTGCTTCAAGAGGGTTTTCACAGTAGGAAGCATTGCCAGAACAATGCTTTTCAAAGGATCAGAAATATCGAGGTAATTGAGGATACTGTCCACAATGTTATCAAATGAGAACAACCCAGATGAAGAAGGGGCTTGTGTTCTGAAAATTGGGGCATCGGGGGTTTTGGATGTCCCCGGGAGAGGTGGAAAATCCTGGGTATAATCAGTTCTGCGGAATCCAGGAGGAGTAGAAGTCTCCTTTTTTCCACCACTCCTTGATTTGGGCAAGCTGATTTGGGGTTCTTGATCTGCAACTTTCCGCGAACGGATGCGTTTTCGTTTCCGGGCAGAACCTTCCGGAAAACTGAAAGAAACTCCCTCCTCAGCCAAGTCAGAGCCAGACTCGTCATCTGACAAAAGAGCGAAGGGATTTTTGTCGTTGGTCGATGGCTTGGCTGTCTTAAGCATTTCTGCAAAAGACCGCCTGGAACGTTCTTTAAGAGAGCGCTCTAGTTTTTCTCCGCGTTGTTTATACACCGGACACGACGAGAGACCATGAGGAGGAGATCCTTTGCAGTACACGCATTTTGGTGCCGTGACTGTGCAGGCGCCATCCTCGTGCTTCTCCCCGCATTTGGAACAGCGTGCCTTGCTGCCACAGTGAGAGGCCGTATGTCCCAACTGTTTGCAGTTTTGGCAGATCATGACCCGAGGAACAAACAAGCGCACAGGTAGCCGAAGTTTTCCCAACTCGATGTACTGAGGAAGGGCTGAACCAGAAAAGGTCACGCGAAACGAGTCTGTGGGGGTAAAACTCTTTTTACCCTCGCTGACAGATACTGAGCCCAGTTTTTGGACATCCAGTATCTTCACCGGGGGGAGCAAGGGGTTCTTGAAACGGCCAACCGCCTGCTTCTCCAAGATCTCGGGGGTCAGACTCGCTTCGGTGACCACACCTTCGATCTCCACATCACGAGCTGGTATGTAAACCCTGTACTCGAGCGTGAAGAGCTGGGAGGCAGCAATCTCGTTAGCCTGCTTCAGGTTAGAAACGACAACACGAAGTTTATTATGCCTAACCTTCGTGATTTCGGTCACGGCCGAGTATCGCTTCGTCAGATCAGTGGAAATTTGCATCAAGTTCAAAGGTTTGTTTTTGGGCTGAAAGTAGACAACCCATGGCCCAGTCGAGTCATCTGGATAGGCTCGCGATCGGGGGCTTTTCTGAGACGAACCATGAATGACAGGACGTTTTCGTCTTTTCTTGCCATCGAGTGGCAAACTGGTGTCATCTTCCGACAAAATGTCCATATCGTCTTCTGACGAGACGTCCATTTTGCCGTACTAGTGGGAGCGGTAAACGCTCTACCACTGAAACGATGCTTAAAACCACACAGACACAATAAACAGAAAAAACTACAAACACAGAAACACAAAATTAAATTTAACTGATGGGCGAGAGAAAGAAACAGGAAAAAAAAAACTTATCTGCTATACTACTACCACCGAGTGATTACACAGCAGCAGCGAAGCGACGCGCAGCGTGGGTGACCTTCGATGCGCGTGTGCGGGCGATCTTTGTAGTGGTGTGCTTGTATGAGGCTCGGCACTCAACTGGACACACGATGATGGATGACCGGTATAAATGCGGAGGCAGATGCTGACACTCGATGACGATGATCTGTGTGCAGGTATGCGTGATCACGCACCGATGGTGCGCAAAATGGTTGGCGAATTGGCAATCGCAAAACAATTTTCCTTCCGATGATGCCGAAAACACACTTTCTTCTCAGAAAAAAACTCACTTTCAGTTAATTGTTTAGCCGGGTACTATGCCAGTAATCACTAAGCGAGAAAAAACTGATAATTTAAACCAACCGAATACCGAGAAAACTTTCGAAATACCGGAGCGCGAAACAAGTCGACTGTACTTCTTGCTAGGTCGCAGTGGGATGAAAAAGTTATGTTATCGTTTGAAAAATATTCCTCTCCAAAAAATCTAAAAGAACATTTACTTAAATTTTTTTATTTTTTTTTCTAAGTCCATGTAAACAAACCACTGCCAGATGTCACAAAAGTGAGGTTAACCCGACGGTGTAGAACCCTAAATTGTTCTTCTTTTCTTAATGCTTGTGTGTGTGTGAGTGTGTCTGTTGTATTGAGTGTTCATGGCTATGAATGAAACATATCTGCGCAGGGTTTTACTGATGTGCTGGCAGCTCCCAAGTAACAATTTTGGTTTTATGAGGGTTCTGTAGACCATGGACTTTTAGAATGCTATAAAACCTCTATAAAGCTTGCAATGTTACTTGGGCTGACAGTGCGGCAAGCGGAGGGCGCACGTATGCTGTGCGATGATTTAACGGTGTAGCGACGGTTTCGTTCGTAACGAAAGGGATGCCACATAGCAGGGATGTAGCGTCGACGGTGGATGCTCACGAAAACAACTAAAGGTGCGGGGGGAGGTTGTCGGTGGATGTTGGTACTCTAGCAGATCATCCGTTCGAGGTAGCCAACGTGACTGGCGGGCCACGTAGCCAGAAACTGGCGGGCCACCGAGCAGTCGCACCGAAAATACACCACGTGTACAGAAGTCAGGTAAATGGCCAAGGGAATGCCTACGGATTTCTAGCCCGTATAAAAAGCGTCCGATGGACGCTTGATTTTGTAATAAACGTACAATGCACAAGGGCAGAGTATTCGTCGTTGTGTTTTTAACACGCCAAAAAACTTTAATTAGAAAAAAAAAACCGAAGAGAAATATCACTAGACTAAAGGCTGGCGCACAATGTATAAGTTTCCGGATTTTTTGCCAGATAATGCATGGGCTAACTGTCAAAAAACCTGAAAACTTATTCATTGTGCGCCGGCCTTAACTTCTGCTCTCTAGCCGACAATTATTTAAAGTGCACGATAAATTAATGTTAAAGAGCTCTCGACCCCTCAGAATCATCATGTTTGACACATACCACGATTCATTGAATCATTTTGGACAAATTAACCTATTGGCCATCTATTGATTCAACCATGAACTAAAAAAAGCCTATTGCATTGGAAACGGAAATTATTTTCAAATTTTAAAACTGCTATAACATTATAGTATGCGATGGATTGAATTTTACAAAATAATAGAAAAATATAATACGAACTAACGGAGAACGTTTCAATATCTTTACTCTGCAGAAGGTCTTTGAACTTCTCAATAAATTGAAGTTCTCTGGATTTGTTTTTTTTTAATTCGCGGAACTTTCCGCTGCCACAGTTTTCCAGATATTCATAACTCTTCTCCGAAGCTCTCAATATTTCCCCACGGTTCATGGTACTTCTTTAAAGTGCTCCCATTTTTTTGAAGTTAATGCAAATTCAGAGACGATCAAAGATCCGGAGAATTTCAAAGCCACTTGGATATGTTTACAAGCATTAAGAATGATTAATTATTCAGGGAACCGTAGTTCAACTGTTTGAATTTTGTGGTGCGGCTTCCTGTGTGGCAAGTTAGGCATAATGCAGTTTTTTACATAATACCTATATTACCTCCAATAACCACAAAATCAAATCTAATCTAACACCAACACAGGAAGTTCTTGAAAGTAGCTGGAACATGATTGAAATACCTTCATCATTTTTCTTGTCTATTTGATATAAGTTTCACAACGAAGATGCGTCACACATATCAAAATGGGCAGTCCTACTGTGCAGTAAGATGATTAAAAAAAACATCGGGCCTGTTTAAATCGAAGATTTAAACACGATGCTTCAGAATCCAATAAATGGATGAAACGTGGACATCTCGTACCGTACGTTCCATTTTTGGTAATTATATGATTGATTGGTCGTTGGAAGCATCAAAGATAGAAAGGTTAACTGATATAGTAGTCCATTTTCACCTGACGGTTGGGACATGAGCACTAACTCTTGTCCTAGTCTTTTATGGCTTATGGATATAGTTAGTTAGTTTGAAATTCCGCGGGGTTCCGTGAAAGATCTGCTTTGAAAAGATAAAAATGGACATAAAGAAACAAACTCACCAAGTTTAGCCAATTGAACCTAAAGGCAGCTTGACATGTGTTAATGTTGAAGTCCAAATTGTAGACGGTCCGCTTGACGAAGACCAACATGAACTGGTCCGGTTTGTAGTAGAATTATGGGACGTCGATGGTCCCATGTTGCTTCTACTTGGCTTCGGAACAGCTTGGTAGTGGCAAATAACCGGGGCGTAGAACTATATAGAATGAGATGCTCGCTGAGGAACTACAAATGCTGGGTATGGTTTTGACCAGGTCAGCAACTCTTACCTCCAATAAGCAAAAAAGGTTTGAAACATAAATTGCATTTTTCTCAGACATATGCGTAGAACGGCAGTTAATATTTTTCTTTAAAACGGAAGTATTGCTGTCGTGATAAGAACGTGCCAAAAATGAAGCACGGAAACTATTTTCTTCCTTTGCAAACGTGCGACACATTACACCTTTCAGCAGTGGTTTGAAAAAACACGTAATGTTACTACATATCTATACAATTACGTTACACGTGATTCGTAAGTAGGAGCGTTGGCTGCAAAATTGTAAAACCATTCCAAAGGGGAATCAAACGCATTATCTTATTGTTGTAGCATTGTTTACAAGTCACACTTCCGGCTTCACGTAAGAGATCTGGCTAAGGTTCTGCTCTAATCCAGACTGCATCTGGTCATTTGGCACACACAATTCTCTACCCGTCTGAGAGCAAATTTATACGAATAGTCTCAACGAGCGAGTTTAAACTGACTTAATTCATTTACACGTGATGCATGGCACATACACTGCCCTCATCAGCACATGGTCCAGTTCTAGTGGCCTCGTACCGGGGCAAGCAGTTTAACGTTCTATGTTTATATCTTCGTAATGATCACGATGATGTCGTCCCCGAGGCAGTAAAGTGTTCCACCCTCACATAACTGTTACCGTTGCTAATCTATCGAGCTGATTATCTCACTCGACCGCTAGCTGATGTACTGTTTTCCGTCGATAGCATGTTCTAGCCAGATATGCATGTCTATGTGAGTGAAATTTGTCCCTAGATGTACAGTGAAACTCTGCCGATACGATTCCACGTTGAGCAAAATTCAACTTTAATTACGTCACATCAAAGATGCACTTGACTTGCTATCCCTCGTGCACATACGCACACAGCTGCCTGATGCAGTTTGGGATGCAGTTGCACGCGTTTAGATCAATTTAGGTAGATATCTTCCTCCATCTGATAACGGACGGTGGTGAATTCCAATCACTCTAATCAGTACTCCTCGGTCTTGGCTAGCGAACGGGAACGGGTCGCGTTTTTCACGTCGAGACCTTGAAGACGAAGATGTCGAACTGTGGGAACTACTTCATCGTGCTTGCCGTTAGTGTGTTGCTGATCGGTGGTGTTTTCGGTGGTAATGTGTGAAAAACTAAGTGGCTTCAAAGCAAACATTCAGAAAAATGTCTAATTTTGGTGATTTTTTTTTATCTCAAAGGTCCAGTTGCACCATTAGATTGCATGAATGAAAGTAACGGAAATTCCACTGAGGAAGCTCTGAAAAATGCGTTACTATGTGGAACTGGATACAACACTCATCAGAGACCAGTGAAGAATCAACAAGATCGGGTAGCAATGTACATAGGAGCGGATGTTATGAATGTTGAGCTGGTAGGTTTGGGAATTTGTTTCGTAGATACGTACGCATAGGATATTTAACGTACGAGTTGTAAGCAGCATTACAGAGACTAGGGTATTGGGCGAGCTAACGCCTAACCAAAAATGCTGGATGCAAGTATTTTTTTTATATTTACGGTTGATGCGATTATATGCTTGAAGTGATAAGTGAAAACTATCAGAAATTTAAAATCATACATATTCAGTGGGGGCACCGTTTATGGGTCTCTCTTAGCTCAGTAGGTAACGGCGCAGCTACAAAGCAAGACCATGATGCAGGTGGCTGGGTTCGATTCCCGGTCCGGTCTAGGAATTTTTCGGGTAGGAAAATTTCTCGACTTCCATGGGCAATAGAGTATGATTGTACTTTGCCACACAATTATACTAGTGTAAAAATGGTAAAGGCATCGAAATCTCGCAATTAATAACTGTGGAAGTGCATCTAGAACACTATGTGGAGAGCACGCAATAAGCTAATATGCGATAAGCAATAAGCTTGAAATGCGAAGAAGAATAAAGACCGTTTATGATTGTGGTAGGCTTACAAGATTTAGAAGGAGACTGATGGTCATTTATCATAATTATCATATTAGGGTTTGATCGGGTGATGTTCTAATGTACGAGTGCCACAGCTTCAGGTGGACAGTGAAGAAAATTTTCCACTTCGTCGATGCCAAACATCTTTTGTCTATTATATTAAATTGCCCACTTTGTGCCGAGCATTTTTAGGGGATAGGGACCATTCGTATTTGAGATTTTGAATTAATTGAAATCATTTAGACTGTGGGACTACAGTGCACATTTTAAAATTATTTGAGTGAATTCTAAATAAAAATATCAAAAATCCCCTCGGATTTCACAAAATTCCGTAGGACTTCTCAGTGGAATTCCATACATTAGTGTATTAGTTCTGAGAACATCGAAGGTGATTTTGAGAAAATACTTCAAGTGAAACCTACACGGTGTTTCGCAAAAACCCATTAATGGGTATAAAAATACCCATTTCCGCTAAAAGTGCCCCTCCTCATTTAATGGGTAAACTATGGTTTACTCATAAATGGGTAAATGGGTGGTCTGTCAATAAATGGGTGTTTTTTCACCCATTTTCTTATATTGTGTTTACCGTAAAATGGGTGAAAAAATACCCATTTTTACAAATGGAGGATGCAAGCGCTCGTTGATGTAAAAATGTTTTTAAAACATTGAAAATAAATGCAGGTGTTCCGCTCAAATTTTTCACGAAACATTATAATACAAATAATCCATTGTATTGACTTATCCGTAAGCCTCTCCAACGTTTTGGATTCTAACATTTTCCGGAGCTCGTTGCTGCGGACAGTAACTGTTTGCATCGAGGTTTGCATTCCCAATGAGCCGGTGACGGAAATGAGACGATAAAATTTCGAAGTGTTTTTTCACCCATTAATGGGTAAAAAATATACCCATTATTTAACCGTGAACTGATTCTTTAAATGAGTATTTTTTTACCCATTTTATGATTTCAAAATTCCCCCATTTTTTGACAGCTGCATACATGGTTTGAAAATGGGTATTTTTTCACCCATTAATGGGTTTTCACGAAACACCGTGTAAGGATTATTTCAAAAGTGATTCTGAGGACCACCTAATTCCTTGTTAATTTTAAGAATAATGCCAAGGAGGTCTCAGGTCGGGTTTTCACCAGCGCATATGATTAAAGCAATCCTCTGGCACGGCAATTGGTTCTTGAAGCTGTCGTCAGTGATAGCGGTGGCGTTGATGTTGGAATGATTTTAAGCTTCGCTCATACGTTACCATCATCATGGCTTAGCGATGAGTTCCACCCTTCCGACTATGACCAACCGATAGGACGGTCATTTATTCTTGAAGCCACCGTGAACTCACTTTCATGCCCTTCTTTCTTATAATTGCGTAGAGCAATTAAACACACCGAGATAACAATTGAAAACACTAATCACTTGATAAATTTTCATCAATACCACAACGTTACCATGGCCGTTCAAAAAAACGCATAAACGGAGCTGAAACTCTTAATGTTTACATCAGCTGTCAATAACTGACGTATAATCGAACCAAAGAGCCAAAATAATCAGCTTCAAGCAAAGTGTTCTTGGATGACTTTTGTGCCACCGGAGTGGACCATCGCTGATGGTGAGTGCTATCAGAAGCAGTACGAAGCACCCCATTTCTCGATTTTTTCGAAGGTATAAAGATCGAAGAGTGCTGTGCTTGTGGACGGAATCAAACATTTTTCCTCCCGTCAATTTATTTGATATTGCGTGTTTCCGGATTTTTATTGATGTTCTATTTACTTTAAAGACTTTCGTGAAATTTCTTGAACTGATATTGATGAAGCACAGAAACTTGAATTTCCTGAATAGAATTCCACAGTATCCGGATTGTATCAGACGGCCAATAAGTATTTCAAGACTACATTCTGGACATTCTACGCAAGCTCTACCACATACTGGATTAGTTCATGCCGGTCCTCATGAAGCGAACCGTCTACATTTGGGAGTTCTCCTCCAATACATCAAGGCATATGGTTAGGTTCACGGGGCCAGATTTGGTGAGTTCGTTCCATTTTGTCCTTTTTAAGCCGCAAAAGCCCGACACAAACTTTTTATTTTCAAAAATATGTATCGCAGAGATGCCATGCCATGTCATGTAGATGTACCATATGGATCCGTAATCCGGAACATACATGATAAAGATTGATATTCTAAAGGAATTGGGATTGAATCTTAAAACGATTTCTAATTGAACATCTAAGGTGGTTCTAATAGGATCCTAAATACAAATCAAAGGAAATGGTAACGATAATTCAAATCATGATTTGCTATTACATAGCTCGATGTGCTTCTTTTTTTTTGTACTGACTGGATTTGAGGCAAACAGCGTTTTAGCGAGATTTTTAGTTTGTATTCTCACAACTTTTCCCACATATTACGCGCTTGCAGCCATGGCGACTTTCTGAATACAGAGGAATTGAAAGGGAATACAGGCAAATGTTTTTTTTTTCCTCTATCTACTGGGAGAGCATGTTGCAGGATTTGAGCGTCGAAACAACAGTTGAAGTTTCTACTTTCGTCGTAGCTTGCGCCATAGATCAGTTCACTCCCAAAATAATCTTCGTCAACAGTCACTCGCCAGCTGGCAAAATAAATGGAGTGAAGGGAGTTTGGGACGATGGCTATATTCAATCATCCCTAAGGTGTCGAAGTGTCCAATCACTATTCGCTAAGCGCTCACTTGTTCCGTGTTGGGCTGGGGGACAGTAATCTCTGTGAATGTGGACAAGGCTACCAGGACGCAGATCACATTATTTGGTCATGTGCTGAGCACCGTGGAGTCAGATCCGAGTTGTAAAATACCCTTCGGGCTCAATGTAGACAACCAATGTCCCAGTTCGGGATATTTTGGCTAGACGCGATATATGTTTTCTTCAAGAATATTAACCATAGATTGTAAGTTTGATTAGCCTTGTGTTTAGTTTGTATTTTGTGTGTGTGTTTTTTTTGTATATTGGTTTCTGTAATAATTGTATGATTACAGAGGTGATATAACGTCGATAGGATTAAGTACATGTTTTAGAAATAGTGAAATTTTAGAATCATAAATCATATTCCAAATCTCCTTTTCCCTCTCCCGATCCAAACAATTGTCATCCACTAACCTCGAGAAGACCACGATTTAAGACATTTATAATTTTTAAAGAAAATGATAACTTGGCTCTGTAAATTTTATTCGATTGAGCCTGTACAAAAACTACAGTTTACTACCAAAATAGTGTATAATAATCCTGTGTACCGACCCTGGTTCAACAATCTTCTTAAGAAGTTCGGCTTTTAAAAACCTCTTCAATAATCATAACTCCTACATACGGTCATAGTACAGCGCCTGCAACAGTAGAGACAAACTGCTAAGGGGCTGTTCATAAACTACGTAGACAGTTTAGGGGGGGGGGGTTGACAATTATCCACGGCCCATACAAATTTAAAAAAAAAAATGTATGGACAATTGTCTACGCAGGGGGAGGGGGAGGGGTCAATAATCCCAAAAAACTGTCTACGTAGTTAATGAACAGCCCCTAAACAACAAACTGTTTCATACTTATCTGCGTCGGCTTCAACGTAGTTACAAAGACAATCTTAAGAAGTTCTGGTCATATATCGAAGAACAGCGGAAGGAAATAGGACTACCTTCAACCACCGGCGATTAAAAAGAACCTTCTCTTCTAACCAGCAGCATTTACCGATGATACATTTGACCCACATCTGGTGACTGATGCTACAGTTGATGTACCTCCACGCTCTGCCATTGGTCCTCATCCATGGATATCACATAATACTGTTGAATCAGCTTGAAAGTTCGGTTGAAATGTTCATCAAACCCTGGTCCGGACGGTATACCATTTATCATCTTGAAGAATTGTAGTTCTGCTATCTCGCAACCCCTAGCTACTATTTTTAACCGCTTGCTCTCATGCGGATGATATTTGGAAGATATCAGTCGTTTTTCCAGTACAAAAAAAGGGTGATAAACGAGAGGTTTTAAACTACAGAGGATTCCCAGCATTATGTGCTACATCTAAACTATTTGAGCTGCTTGTCCTCGACTTCCTCAATCATCGTTGTCTCAACTACGTTTCCGCGACTCAACATGGGTTCCTGCCAAATACATTCGCCTGCACCAATCTGGTTCCATACACATCCTTTATTTCAGCTGCTTTCGATAAAATTAACCATGAAATCTTGACAGCAAAGCTTGAACGTCTTGCTAGATTGGCTTAACTCTTATCTGGTTGGTCGTTTAATATCGGTCATAATTGGTAATACTATCACCCCTATTCTGTTATTATTATTATTATTATTATTATAGTCACTTTAACACTCTTGGGTCATTCGTGACTTGTCCGGGGGTGAGATCTGAACTCGTGACTTTGGCGTGAGAGGTATAGATGTTAACCACTACGCCTGTGTCACCCCACCCCT